CACATATCAGAGTCTGATTTGTATGGATGGAAGCAAAAACTTATGTCTCATGTTGAAGGTAGAAGATCAGAGGTCTACATCTCATTTAAATCAACAAAAAATTCTAGAAAATTTTTCTGCTGTCCACAAAGAGCAGTTTTATTTTATATAAAATGAAACATCACTATCCAATGAATATTTAAAAGAGATTTTAATATTTGATTCTAGAAAATTTATCCCCAATTTTGATGACATTCTTTCAAAAAAGCAACTGCAAATTTCACATAGATTCATGTGCACTAATATTCAGAAATAAAAAAAAACAAATCTTAATCTTTGACTATATCTTTCATACGTGGCCCTCAGACTTGCCTTTTATAGCTCACACGACCCTTCTCAGGAAAAGGTTGGTGACTCCAGATATAACATATTAAAAGTAAACATTAGATACAGTTGGATGATTTAATTTAATTCTGACCATTGTATAACCTTTTTATTGGAACAATATGGTTTACAATAATCATTAATAACAACTAACTGACAAAACAGATAATCATCTAAGTAAATTCAAACTTATCATTAGTAACATAATGATAATACAAGCAAATTTCTGATTACAATATGTGAAAGTTTCATAATTTTATTTAATTTATATGTTTTGGGAATGTTGATTCTAATAATATTAAACAACTGATGATAATAAGCAGCATCTATTGTGTAACATTTTCCTAATGCATTGTTTTTAAATACATTTCTCTTTTTAATTGCAAAATGTTTCTTTGCATTTATATCCAATACATATACTTTTTATGTTGTTTCAAATTTATATTGTGTTTCTACTAAAATACAAATTGTTAGTAACTTAATAATCATGACAACACTTTATACGTCACCTGAAATGCAAGAGAGAAAGTAATATATTTTTTCCTTATTACACTTACAAAACTAAATAACAAATTAACATATTACATAAAATTTATTGAAATAGGATGATCATATTGAAGTGATATATACAGTATTTTTGAATTTATCAATTTCACACAATTATAAAAACGTAAGAGAAAAATAAAAAACAAATAAATGATCTTAAAATCTTATAAACATTTTCTTGAGTAAAACCACCTTTTTCTAAAACTACCTTGAAATAAAAACAAATTATTTCATTCCAAGGTATTTTTTTTCTTTAAAAACAAGAAAATAAATATTTCCAATTTTTTTTATTAATTCATAAAATTATTTAAAATCTTATTATTAGTTTCAATCAGTTTGCACTTCTAAATTTATGGATAAATTCTGAAATGTATAATTTACATTAAATATACATAAAGAAAGAATATGCAAAGACATTCTTTTCACCAGTTATTTTATTTAATTTGCTTAGAAATTATTTTGTATTATTTATTTATATAAAAGATATATAAATATTATCTAATATATTAATTACACTAAAAGTCAAAACAATGTCATAAAAGTAAATTTAAAAACTAAACTCTATTAAAAATGCAATATATTCTTATATACCTTCTAAATTTGATTAAAAAAATAATCATCTTTACCTTTTATGTGATGTGTAACAAGTTTATTTCATTTTTTATATAAAAAGACAAAAAATTTAACCAAATAAATTATAAATTTGCAGTATAAACAATTTGTATTTTTTTTTTCTACATTATTACCTACTCTTAACTAATCTAGATGATGTACTTTAATATAAATAACCTAGTTTAATATCAAACCAATACTTAAAAATTGTCTGCTATATTTAGACTAAACAGAAATAAAAATAAAATTTGATTTCAAGATAAACAGAATACACACATATTAATAATTAGATATAATTTAAATTAATTTAAGAGAATTACATAGTAATTATGCTAGAATAAGTAAGTTACACTTGGACGAATACAGATGGAGGATCCGTGGGTCAGCAGTGTCTCAGTTGATGCAATGAGATTTTATGATTGTATGTTAGTTCTAAATTTATATAAGAGGAGAACCTCAGATAGTATTACTGATAACATGCTTATCCAGCTTGCAAAAATTGTAAGTTTGAGCACAGCTCTAAATGGATATTTTATAGACATTTCTAAAATGAATGAATTTAAATTAATTAATTCAAATAATTTAATTATTAGATATGATAACTCTCAACTAAATAAAAAATGATAAGAGAAGGTAAATAGAGTATGATAATAATTTCAGCAGTTTTTGGCTATCAATGTAATCAATATCAATAATTATAAGCATAATTATAATTGATTTTTAAACTTAGGAATATTTCTAAAGATACAATAACATTCTTATATTCATACTAATTGAATTGAATGTATAATAAAATATTAGTTATATAAAATAAGTAAGTTTATTTTAAATGAATGTAAAAAATATAGAATTACATATTTGTTGAATTGTATAAACAACTAAAATTAACCACGTCCAATTAGACAATTTATTAGTTGTCTAATCAAAATGATTATACAATTTTATAATCACTTTGATAAAAATAATTAAACATATTTGAATATTCTTAACAATAAATAATCTGAATAAAATATTTAATTCATTATCAATGAGCATGTGTACAAAAACTATAAAAATCATTATCAAATACATCAAAATTTCCTAGCTATAAATACTACNGCCTTGTATATGTCAAATTATGAAGTTTAGAGTGGTTAATATCAGTGATAAGTAAATCAGATTCCATTCTTATGATAGTGAAATTTAAAATAATTTTTCTTTGTCAGGTTTCCACTCATTGACGAATCTCTTCTTAAGAAATGGCTTATACTGTACTAATGCGACACGATCGTTGGAAACCAAACAATAATAGAATTTGTTCATCTCATTTCGAAGCCATACTTCTTCATATCTTCTATCATTATTATAATTGAAGCATGCTTCAGTTATAATAATGGTAGAAGATATTTACAACCAAATTCTGTTCCTACAATTTTTCATTTCTCCACATCTTCAAAAAATTCCTGCAATAAAACATTCAGAAAGAAAACCAACATCTAAAGACCCTATTTCAGAAGACTTACTTGTAAAGAAAAACTTGCAAAGGCAGAATATTAAATATCAGTCTCTCGTGATCATACATATTGTTTGTCATCTCCAAAGATGTGTGAAATGTTAATTTTAACAAGACAGAAATGTGAACGGCTACAAAAGAAACTTAAATATAGCAGACAATCTTATAAAAAAAATTCAAATAAGATTGTCAATTCAAAAAACATTATTCTAAAGCTCGGGGAAATTCTTTCCAAATCTGATACTATAATGATAGAAAATAACTTAATGAACCGCTTTGTGATCTATTAAAACATCAGCTTTTTGTTAATGTAGGCAATGAATATCCAGAAGAAGTTAAAAAGTTAAAGCAAACTTTTCACTTTTTATTCTAGTAAAGCATGTGTCTAAGACAATTTATTAAACTACCTGCTCCTAGTTCTCTATGGAAATAATTTTATATTGATGGTAGTCCTGGCTTTACTGAACAGTCTTTTATAAAAATCAGAGATGAAACTAAAATTTTAACCTGTCCACTATTATATTGCTTAATTATTGATGAAATGGCAATTAAAAAACAAGTTGATTGGGATGAGAAAAAAGTAATGGAATATATCGATCTTGGTCATAGAAATCTTGATGCTAATGATACTCCCATGGCAACACAACACTTGTATTTTTAGTTAATATTTTACATTTGTTGACTGCAGTAAGATTAGAGATGCACAAGTAAGACAAATTAATATGTAAATTTTCGACTATAAATTCGTATCTTCTATTATCAGGACTTTGTAATATTATCTGTAAAGCCAGTATAGTAAGTCCTGATAATAGAAGATACGAATTTATAGTCGAAAATTTACATATTAATAAGAAAAAAGGATATTGAGGCATTTAATTAAGTAAGACAAATGTTTACAAAAATGATTACTGTATATTTAAAGGACAGTGATACACATCACTGTCCTTTAAATATAATCATTTTTGTAAACATTTGTCTTACTTGTGCATCTTTAGTCTNTTATACAATTTTATAATCACTTTGATAAAAATAATTAAACATATTTGAATATTCTTAACAATAAATAATCTGAATAAAATATTTAATTCATTATCAATGAGCATGTGTACAAAAACTATAAAAATCATTATCAAATACATCAAAATTTCCTAGCTATAAATACTACAATAACAATGCACATTAATCACGAAATAAGTATAACGACTATGCGAATGACTAAATTATTAATAATATTTATCTTCCGCGATTATTAAAATTTTTCATAAATTATTAATATTAAAAACCGTCCAATTATCTAATTAAAAAGTGAGTGATGATACACTTTCTAAGAACATATGAGATTTTATTACACCAAATTCTTTATAAAAACTTAAATTTTTTTACTTTAATCCATATAAATATCAACTTTGGTCAGAAAAAATTTTTTAATCAAATAATAAAAGTAAAATTAATTTAACTGAGATTTTTTAATAATATATTTGATTTTTTTTTTAAATTTTTACTACCACTTTTCATTAAGTTCATTGGGTAAATATGAAAATAAAATCTGTCAATCATTAATTCTTAAATTATGATGTTTGATTCCTGATTATAACTAAAGTTATAATCAGGAATCATAACAGAGAATGCTAAAAATAGACTGAAAACCAATGTTGTCTTTTAAACTTTCATTCACTGTTTATTCTTAATACCAACAATTTTAAATAAAACACATGATTATAAAGGATAAAGATACATTATAATAAATGGATAGAAAATGTTTTTATAAGTAAAAACTAACAATAAATTATGTGGCAATGTAAAAAGATATTATTATTATTATTAACAAGCGATAAAATCATCATTGGACTTGTAATAAAGTTAGTAAATAGTGTAATACAATACATTCGGTCAATACAACAATTTTGTGTATATTTCATTGACAAAACATTCAACTGTTAATCTCATATGTTGGATAAAATTGATCTTAATCGATAATTATTCTTACCGGTCTTGTAAAAGTAACTTCCATCGCTATCACTCGACATATCTGTGGAAGATTCGGTTGCACTCATCGCCAATCTTGTTTATCTTCCTTCTTCACTTCATCAAAACTGAATAAGACACAAACACTCGGTGCATTTAAGATCCGCCATCTTTGTCAACACCGTCTATTTTCTTCTCTGACATAACTGAAATGGCGATTTGAATCGTGCCGTACATCACTACTTTAATTATATATATTTATAAATTATTTACTACGGTTGATTTTTATTTATTTAACTCTTTTTTATTTTTCTTTCAAATATACTACTATTCGATCGCAACAAGTGCTTCTTTGCTTGACAAGTCTGACGTAATGGTTACCTGAATTGTCAAGTAAATTTGTCTACGACTAATAATAATTTTGGAAGACGACATCGAGAGCGAAAATGATAAAAATATTATCTCTTTAATTTTAAAAAGTATTAAAATAATTAAATTTTTTACAATTTTTTTCAAAAATAATAAAAGTTTCATTTATCGTCTGGCAAAATTAAATTTTAAAATATATGACGTTACGAATTTATTAAAATGATGATAAAAATTTAATCTTTTATGATATTAAAAGCACTAGTTTAATAATTATTTATATTTAAATTTAATAATAAATTTTAAAATTATATAATTAATTACGTATGTGATATTTGGAAAAATAGGTTTAAAAAAATATTAAATTTTTAATTTTCGTGACGTATTTAGAAAGGGAAATTTATGAGGCAAGAAGGACAATTTTTAATAAATTTTCCTATGTAAACTTGTTTTTTACGGTTGTGTGATAATGTATATCATTCAGTTGATGTTCAGGAAGCGGAAAAGGTCGACGAACAAACAAACAAAAAAAATCACTTTCGTTCACTTTTTGTTTCTTATTGAATATTTAAAATATTTAACGTTATAAAGTTGATAAAATTTAATCGTATTTTCACTCAAAATTAGCAGCAATGAAGTTGATTGAAAGGTTCAAAGATATTTCTGTCCTGTTTATTTCGTACAGAAAGTTCGACGTCAATTTGGCGTCATCACTTCGGATTTACAATGGACAAGTTTAAAAAGTGACGTCAAATTGACGTAAAAGATGGACGAAATGAACAATTCGGGTCCGTTCGGATGCCGAAAGCCCTGGCCGCTTAAGTTTTTCAAGTCCTGTAATATATTAAAAAACGTAACAGCGTTAAAAAATTCTTTAATTAATAAAAGAAATAGGGATATTCTCATATAATGTGAATTGTAATCAAGCCGAAAATATTTAATAGGGGATGTCCATATATTACATCATCATTAACCCCGCTAAATAATGGTGATAATGATGATGATGATGGTTGATGATAGGGTAGCGAGTAGTTAAATTGACTCTGATCAAAATAACAAAATTGGAAGAATTGGCGTTTGTTTTGGGTCCTCTTAAAGTTGAGTTTTTGTTACAGGATGACAAGGTGATGGTATCAATAGGGCTAAGAACTTTCTTATGATGCACATTGTCCATCTATTCAGTCAGTTCTTATTAATTAATTGTTAGGAGGAGGATCTGCAGGAACTGTTAATTAATATAATAAGCGTATTTGGGCTGCAATTTGAAAATATTGTAGACTTATATATTCCCACTGTCATTCGTCCGTCCGTCTTTCCTTAATCTCCAGAACGGAGTTAGATGAAATCTGAGGCTAGATGTTAAACTTTAGGGGTAGGAGCCCCGATTAACTATATAAGAACTTCCGATGAAAACCGGAAGTCACATTACGTCAATTCAAAAATTTTCCCCTGAAAGGCGTTAGACGGATGACCAACACGACTCTATTGTTAAAGGAAAAGTGTGATATGCAGGGGCAAACCACTATCAATTTGAGGTAGCGAGCATATATTTTAAATTAAATAAATTTAAAATATGATTAAAAATTACAGCCCGGCATCGTGGCGATGTCACAATAAATAATTTCTCGTTTTATATATCTTTCTTCGACTTTTCTTAATTTATAATCATACGCTTCAATACGAACATTTTGTTTCAGGAAATATGAAATTTGTCATGTTTCAATAAGAAGTTTCATCGAGCATTCAGTGGCGTAGCGTAGGGGGAAAGGCGGCGCCCGCCCCGGACGGCACTTTCCTAGGGAGGGCAAAATACCTATCGTTAAATTAATATTAATAAAGGAGACTAGAGGAGATCCAACTCCACAGAAACAGTGAAGCTAAAAACTTCCGCAACAATACTTTGCGCAGTACCTACCTACTGCGCAAAGTATATGCCCCATTANTTTCGATGAGTCATATCATTCTTAACTTGGACGGAAATGAAATTTGTTACAACGTTGCACTTAATCTTTCATATTTGTTGTTAGTAATTTAAAAGACATTTTGAAACACATACGGAACAATAATAATTTTTTTAAATATAATAACACAAAAATGAAAAGGGAACTTGGGTACATTTATCGAGAGCCACAAATAATCATTCAAAGAGCCGCATGCGGCTCGCGAGCTGCAGGTTGGCCACCCCTGATCTATAATTTATCAACATTTCTAGTTTCAAAACTGAGTTTAGAAGGAAGGTGAGTCTGTTACTTTCTATATTGCCACAATCTGCGCCACCTTGCAGGTGACTGCAGTTTTGGAGACATGTGGCCTGAACATTTTCATGATCAATTCATTTGTGGTATTCAACATGAAGCCTTACAGAGGAGATTATTGGCTGAATCATATTCAAAATTTGATGATTGTGTCAAATTTGCTCTTGCAGCAGAAGCTGTGACTGACATGAGCAGAAAAATTTATGCTGCCCATCTTACCAATGGAACTCATTCTTCTACAGTAGCCACCATACAAGCAAACCAGAAAAGGAAACAAAATAGTAAGAACTTTTCAAAATCAAGTCCACAACTAAATCGTTGTAGTAGATGTGGTAGTTCACATCCAAGAAGTAAGTGCCTATATCTAGACACTGAATGCCAATTTTGTAAGAAAACTGGACACATAGAGCATGTTTGCAGAACTAAAAAGGCAACTGAACCATCATATCATTATCATAAAAATGGAAAAATTGACCCCCAAAAACATCTGCTTCCACAAACGTTGTAGGAGTTGCATCATCATACACTGTTAATAGACTTCGTCCTGCTACATCCTATAAATGCAAGGTTACTGTTCAACTTAATGGTTGTCCATGTCAGTTAGAAATGGGCTCTGGTTATGACTATACAGTTATTAATGAGGACTAATTCAAAAGTCTGTGGCCTACTAAAGCACCAAAATTACAGCCAGTTTCCTTTGTGCTTCATGATTTCCAGTGTTAATCAATCAACTTCAAAGAACAGTGTAAACAGTGTACTGTTCCAGTCTTATACAATAGACAACACAGAACCAACTTCTAGTGCATATAATACAAAAAACGAACACTGCACAAATGTTTTCCAACTTCTTCTGAGTTCTTCTTCGGGTGCAACTGAATGGTTACCCAATGGAATGTTATTGGAACTAATGCCTATTCGTAAAATTTTAAAACAACATAATTTGAATGACCATTTGAAAATATAAATATAAATTTTTATTTTTATTTTTAAATGGTTGTTCAAATTACGTTGTTTCAGAAAGAACTCCAGGCTTTCCTTGGACTACTGAATATTTATGATAATTTTCTGCATCATAAAGTCACTATTGCAGAACCACTTTACTGACTTCTGACAAAGGACACACCCTGGAAATGGGCAAAAATACACCAAAGAATTTTTGATGAACTGAAAAAACCTCTCTCCATCAGAAAATATACTTGTTTCCTTCAACAGTATGAAAGAAATCACACTCGCGTGATGCTTCGCTCACTGGACTAAAAAACAAACTCAGAACTGTACGTGTGTGTGTGTGTGTGTGTGTGGTGTATGAAATTATTCCGGTTATTTTTAACTTTAACCAAAAATGTTATGGAATCGACTCATTCAGTAACATTTTTGGTTAAATTTTGTCAACGTTTGAAAATAAAATATAATACTGTACAATAAAACCTAGTGAAGTCGAAGTTTAAATAATTTAATAAAATACATATCTCCATTAAACAAGTTTAATATCCAATTTTCTCGAGTTTTCTGTTGCTGCGAATTTCCCGTTATCAAGCAGTTTTTCAAGAATCTATTCACAGAATGATTACAAAATTGTACAATACACTAGTTTATAAGGCGCTTTTGAGTACTGTACGTTGTCAAGGAACAAGGCAATGGCATTCAATCAGAACGCTAGTAACATACTATATCAGTAAAAGGATGTACTGTAGATACGAAGTTGTAACGGCATGTTCTTGTATTCGGCATGGAGCCGTAGTGTTTATCTTAATCTTCTATATTCATATTGAATTAAAAGAAAATGAAGATCACGGATCTATCAAAGGATGGAGGGTACACGGAAAAATATGTTCTAGTTAAAAGTATCGACAATTTTGACTTAACGATATCACATTGTATGGAAAACCCACTTACTTTGCCCAGGACCTGTAGACAGCTTAGAGTTAACGCAGTTCGACTTAGGTTTTACCGTGTCGACCATTTTAGGAACCCTTCGTTCTGGACTGTTGTGCATCCGCCTAGTTGCAGTACCGTGTATAATAAATATCAGATGGTTTTTAAAAATAATTTACACATAATAGTTTCGTGTGTTTACGATAGTAATTGTAGAACTATCTCATATAGCCTTATAATGCATGAAATAAAAAACAAAACTAATCAAATCTATCCAAACTGACGGTATAAATATCAGGTTGTAAAGGTGAAATTTAAACATTTCGAAAAAAACTTTGTACCCCTCGACCAAAATAGAACTGTTTTTGTCATCTCTGGGATGACAATTTTTTCTGCATATCAAAGGGACAGTAGTGTATCACAACAGTATTCTTCAGTTGGTTCAGCTGTTGTGCTACTCTTTGAAGCCAATACTTTCCTGCAGAATTGTGGCATTCCCATGGGTAGCCTCTCTGGTGATTACTGTGAACTTGTCTTACGATCATTAGAAGAAAGTGTTACCAATATACCTCCCACAGGTATGCTTTTTCTTAAATACTTAGATGGTGTTGATAATTTGGAACAAGAACCTAAACATTGTGACATTTGTGCACATTAGCAACAACTCATATGGGCTAACTACATACTCAACTGGGGAAATGATGCATTTTTTTGAATTTCTCCTTCAAGGATGGGCACCACATTGTATTCAGGAAGTTTTGCTATCAAACTACCTTCATCCTGGAATGGCTACATGATTCCTTATTAGAACAGCAGTATAGGCCTACAACACTGATTGCTAGGACATTCTCACATTATTCTAGCATTACCAATAGACAGGTGGAATGAAATTACACAGACACTGCTAGAAAACACAAGTGCAATCTACAAACCATAAGGAAACTTTGACAAATACAACAAGGCAAGCAGAGAAGGGACCAGAACTTTGAACTTATTAACTATAATAGGCTTCTCAGATTGCCAACTCTACATATTTTCTACTGGAGGAACACAACCCTACTCTGTATATGATCTCTTGTATGATAGTATCTTGTATACTCTGTATATGAGATCATATACAGAGTATACAAGATACTATCAAGGATAACAGAATACATAAGAGAATGGAGTACCTACGTGGAATGACTGAGGTCACTCTCAAAGATAAAAGAACATCTATATGGCCAAGAAACAACAGAATATTGCATTGGTAGCAAACACCTTGGAGTCAGATACAAGTTGAGCTAGAGGAAGCCTGAATTGTTAAATTAAGAAACTCAGTTCTTTCAAGGAAAGAAAACACTTAGTTGTATATAAAAAAATTTATTTAAAATATGTGTTTTCTTACTTTGTAGTTGTCCTGAAGAGGACATGATTTCTAGAGAGGAAAACCAGCTTCATCAACCTGATTTTTTGAAAGAAATCAGTTGATTTTTAATTTTGCAAGTGAATTAGCTAATTCTTAACATAATATAAAGATCACATTAATGAATTATACTAATTGTAACTTAATTCCAAAATGAATAATTTAATCAATATTAATCTGCCTAAATTAATTGTTAATTTTTTCATAACTTATTTCTAAAAAAAACAAACAAATTAAATTTAAATTTTATTATATCAAAATATATCCACACATTGATAATACTTTATAAACTTTAATATTAAAAATTTTGTAAACAACAAATGTGTAATTCTACAAACATTTTTAGACATGTTAGTCATTATTGCTTTTTAAATAGTTTTTTGGCTACTAAAGTGAATTGAAAATATATTTGTATCAAGAAATATCCTACTTTAAAAATCCCTACCTTTCTACATTATTTTTTATATTACTGTAGAATAAAATTTATTTAAGTACAAATATTTTTAATAAGTATATATTTAACATAAATACAATAAAAAGGAATTTTATTTATACAGATTTAAATATCATACAGGTAACAATATCAAAGTATTTATTTTATTGTTTTTCTATTTAAACCACCAACAAAGAAAGTTTGATCATCAAAAAATTATACTATAAATAGAAAAGTTTGTTAGATGGTATTTTTAAAATTTTTACTTTCATATATTCACTCAAAAAATAATTCATTAAGTATTGTAAACTTATTATACAAATAGTTACAATAATATATATGTTATATATAAACTACAACTATTTTCGACATACAAAATTTACTGTTTTTAGAACAATGTGCACACTAGCACCAGTATTTGGCATTTAAATCTAAATACAATTTTTCTGTATTTTGTTAATTTGAAAAATTGATACATATATTAAAATATATTTTGATAATCAAATGTTGATCACGCACGACCATCCATCAAGCGAGAATTTTCAACATTGTTGAATGAAACTTGAGTTGCTTGCTGACGTCTGAGTTCAGACTTTATAAATACTAGAAAGCAAAAATAGATATTGAAGATTGTGAAAGTTTATCATCAAAATAAATATTTTAATAAATTTAAATTGATAATACTAGTAATTAGTTATCTATCAAATTATAATAATAATGATGATAAAAACATACAACATTCAGATAAAAACTTCATGTTATTTAACTATTAGAATATTTTCATATTTGATTATATGCAAAAATCTTACATAGTAATATGATAAATAATTTTAATCAAAAAATGTGAGTGATCACATTCAGTCAATTAAGTCACACAATTTAAGAAATACATTCATATAATATTTTTTAGTATAAATTGAAAATTATAAAAAAAATGCTCACAAGATTAATTCTGTAATTTTATTCTCTATTCCATTCACAATGAAAATTAAGCATAAACATAAAACCATGTAACTGTATTACTTAATACAACCATTCACAATGAGTTATGTAAGGGTAACCTTAAACTTAATCATAAGACATTAACTCCAAAGTAAAGCTTTGGAGTGTGCAAACTTTAAAAGTTTACAAACTCTAAGTTTTTATGCTGTTTGTGTGATTTAAAACAAAAAAATCTTAATGGTTATGAATTTCCACTGATAAATTTTTTCTTCAACAGACTAATCCCCCATCACCTGTTACTTGCATTTTTAATTTTTCTGATGCAAAACACTTAAACATGCATACTTCGGTGTTATTTATATCCATAAACTGCACAGCTGTATCATCAGTAATCACGCAAACATTAATCTATTTCATTACCGACCACTATATTAAAATAGATTATATTTGAATTTTATTTTATTAAAGTGTCCTATTGGCCACTAGGAATTTGGCCACCTGTGTGCATGCATCACTACAGGCCTATCAATTTTTTTGTCAAAGTAGTATATATCTTTTTATTTCAATGATCAGACATGTAACTTGTAATACAATAATTACAATAGTTTAAACATAATCTCTTAAAATCTTTGAAAATTACCTGTTATTAATGTTCCTAAAAATAAGGCAGAAATTAAGAAGAGATTGGCATATAAATCATTATGATTCAAAATTGATGATGCTATTGTTGTACAGAGTATTCCAAATACCTTTAAAAGATTGCACATTAATTATATAAAATTATTCCATTCATTGCAAAATTAAAAATATATCTGATTATACCTGTGCTGATGCATTTAACAAACCAGATGATGTTCCTTCTGCTTCAGGGTAAGTAATTTCAGCTGCAAATTCAAAACCAAGTGGAAGATAACCAGTCATAAAGAAGCTGTTAATAAATAAAATATTCATAATATTCATATATCCATGTTATATAATATATTATCACAGTTGTAAATATTTATGTAATTGAAAAATATGAGAAAATAAACAAACCAAACTAATGAGATAAAAACAAGTGATGCCACTTACTAAAAATAAATGAATATATAAAAACTGTATTGGCATTACCAGTAAATATGTTTAAGTAATGAGTATGAGCACTTTTGACAGTATATAACACAATATTCTTCAGGTAATATGGCAGATGGAATATTATAAATCTAGAGATAGAACACATTTTAAAATTGCTCTTTGCAAAAATTAAAAAATACAAAATTATAAGCCATTACAAAATAAATATAATATACAATTACATACAATGGTTAACAAAAATAGCAATTAATATACACAGAAATAACTGATATATAGAGAATTTAAACAAAAAACACTGGAGGTTATCATGTTTTGTCACATAACCAATTGAGGAAGTTGAACACTGCAACAGTGAGGTCAGCCGATTAGGGGTGAGGTGTTTTAGACAGCCGAGCAGTCATTACTGTCGTGTGGGCGCAGAATGATTCACCAAGACAGGTTTCCCATATAAAACTGTTTAATAAAATTATAATTTCTTACAATCTTTTCTTGATTGACGTATTATCACACCACGGAGCACGAGGATAAAGTTCAATAGAGTTCGAAAAGTCCGTTTTTCCGTTTCCTTCAGTTTGGCGACGACGAACTAATAATTGTCGGCCCCGGGGTGAATGGCAGTGCTTCCAGTGGTCTTTCTTGGGTGAACTGATGAGCCTGGAGGTCGTCCGGTGGCACTGCAGATAAGGTTGCTTCCACTCGATCCGAAACGTTCTTTTTTCAAGATCCCGTGGGGGGACACACGTCCAGGAGGGTAAGACTATGAACCAAGAACATTTGTAACTTGAATCGCACTGTTTTATAGATTCCTCAACCTCAGCCGCCTTTCCATTGGTCTCTCCTTGTCACCTGGTGACAATTCGAAACCACACCAAAGGGCGCGGGAGAGGTCAACGTCGCGTCGGAACACGACTCCTCTCCAACCTTGTTTTCCTCGACTTTATCTATTGTTTAAAATCTTTTAACAAGACAAAAGGTTCATTGTTTAAATCTGATCTTTAAGTTCTCTCTTTCACGCTACGAAACTTGACTCATTCAAAAAGTTGTTAATGGCCTCCTTTCGGACCCCATTTGGGTCCTCACAGGGCACTCCCCTTTTGTTTAAAATGTTTCCACTGGATGCGATATTTTAACCGTTGCCTTTGTGCCTCATGGCCGTCCCCTCAAAAAGAGAGGTCCACTCAGGATCGGACAATGAACTGATAGCTCGCGCTCGCGTGGCTGTCGAGTTGTAGGTGTCGCGTCACATTCAACAGGAGAAAATGGTGGTCATGACAAGGATTATATTTATTAGAAAACATAACAAAAAACCTTTGTTTTTCTATATTCTCCCATCTATCATCTCTAGTGATCACAATGTTTCACCCAAGTACCAGGTATACACAGAATATTTCACACTCTTGTGTGTAGTTACATTCCCTTCCATCCTAAAGTGGTGGGTGCTTTGTCACCAGAGCACTTAGGAGAACTCTATTCTGTCTACTAACTACTTAAAAATATTTTCCCATACTACAAAGAATACATTCACCAATTTCCTGTCCCCCTTTTTTCTAGTAACAATTTTTTTTCTTGACTGGCGTGTCCTAGGAGGCTTGGAGGGCAAAGGTCCCCCTTCCTTTCTTTTCCATTTATCTCTGGGCACTGGGAGGTCGCGGAGGGAAGGACCTAGCCCTTCCTCTTGCCCACCTCCCGCTCTTCTAAAGACATTTCCGCCCAGGTTCTGAATCCTTTATTTCTCCCCCTGCCCTCCTCGCTCCATACAGGAAGCGTGGAGCTCACCCACAGCCTCTGACCGAAGCGCCAGGTTCGACTGTGGTTTCCGTGGCGGGTTGGTCTAAAGGGTTCTCTTCCTGATCTGTTTGTTCTCCAAGGGTGAGGCCCATTTTATCACTCTCTCCCTCTCCTAATTGGCGAGCAGTTTCTCAATTCAGTTGTAGAATTTCTTCCTTCAATGTATTCGGGACGTCCATTTGCCAGGGTAGTATCATAAATTCAGGTGCTTGGTCCGGTTCTTCATTAACCTGCTGGGTCTTTTGGAGGGCTTGCTTTATCACTTCTACCTTAGCAGTATGTTGAAGGGTTCTTCCTATTCACCAGTTCCAAAGAGAATGGTATGGGGTATCTCCCAATCGTCCCATGCAGGTTCCATGAAGAGCATCCGCGGCACTCTCCCTGTGGATTGCCCGCGTAGGGCTCTCCCTGCCATTCTATATGAAAGCAAAAATAAAAAAAAAAATCAAATAATTACTTTTTCCCCTTTTTTTTCATTTATTGTCCTTGGTCCCTTGAAAGAGGGCCACTTTGACAGCTTAGAAACCAATGGGTTCCACGGAGACTACAACACTTAAGGTTTGGCTTATTGTAAGTTGACTCACGAATTTTGTGGACACCGTTAGACATTCTTCCTCCTCTAATTTTTCTCGTCTCCTCCATGACACTTTTTGGAGCTGAATTCCACGCAAGAGCCTTTCCTTTTCCTCCTACTAAGAGGAAACTTTGAAATCGGCTCACTCCTCTTTTGCTTCCCACAAAGCGAATGACGAGACTTATACGGCCACAGTTACCCTCTGTCTCACTTTTCTTTACCTGGATAACAAATTCATGTCCGTGACAATTCATCCGAGTAGCCCACAACAAGGGATGAGTCGAATCCAGACCCACGAGCGATAACTTTATGGGCACAGCTTTCACCAAGACCATCAAACGATGACGGTAACGAAGATGCTCCACTAAGGTCTGGAAAGCCCCTTCCCAGGAGCAAGTTGGAACCAAAGAAGGGCACTCACATTTCTGGTACAGACAATGCTGTTCATGAATCCTTCGCTTTTGCAATTTCTGTACAACTTGGCAGCCATTATCCTTAAACTGGGAGGGAAGAGCTATAGCCTCCACCATCTTCTCCATTGTGAGGTTTCTTAACTCCCCGAGATATCCTCGACAAGTGGGTCACTGATGTACTCGTCCCCTGCAACTGCCGCATAGGAGATGACCGGCCATGCATTGGAAAATGGGAGCCACCAAGTTCTCGTAACACACTGGACACTCCATCAAGGAGATAATTGTTGGATTCTCGTTTAATGTCGTAGGAGAGGCGGGTGTCTTTTCTTCCTCACAGTTATTACCATCATTAGAACTCTCTTCCATCTCTTTTCCTTCTGATTTTGGAAGAATTCTACAAAAAAAAAAAAAAAAATTCAGCTGGTATCATAAATTGATATGTTTATCGTACTCCTCAAACAAAATTTCTATCGCGATCGTCCATTGGCTGGTAGTCATAAAAAAATTTCCGAGGGAGGAATATTATCCCCTTGGTCAAAGGTGGCACAATTATGGAAATTTCCACAGCGAGGGTCAGGGCAATCACCACGACCTGGATTGCCATCAGGTTTACATTCATAATCTAAAATGAAAAGTAATTACAAACATTAGTTCTGTTTCATGACCATCGTACGTCATCGACAGGTTTAGATTTTACACATTTTCCTTTACACATGGTGACCTCTCCCCTCAGAAGAGCTCACCATTTACATTGGGTAAATAGCCCAATGGGTGTAGGCGGCGGCAAAGATTCTAGATCATTGCTCAGATGCGTTGACACGTCTCCCGCATCCATGTCTTGGTGGAGAGGTTCCACCGTTTGCCCATGTCTATGCGTTTCGGGCAGTACCCAAGGATATTCGTCTGCAGGTCCCTGACTCCTCAAAGCGTATCTGTTGAGTTGCGGTCGCGTGTTGACTAATTTCTACAGTTTTCGCTGACTCTTCCTGATCAGGTTGTATCGAATTTAGGATGAAGTCATCCCAGGGATCTATTATTTCGGGGGTTTGTGGTTCCGGGACTGAGTTTTCGGATTTCTCTGTCTCCAGACTAAGCTTGTCGGCAGCGAAGGATTCAAATTCCATTCGCGCGACAGCAGGTTTTATTCTATTTGCATGCGTGCGTGCGTGCGTAACTTCTTTCCCGTAAGGATATGTTGGACGACAAAGTCGACTGGACTAGTCTCCGCTATTATCCTATACGGTCCCTGCCATCTAGGTAATAACTTCCTTTTTAACCCTGTAGGGACTACTACCTGCGTCACAAAAACTCTGTCGCCGATTACAAATTTATGAGGTTTATTTTTGCGATCGTGGTACACCTTCCTGTCCTGAGCTGCTTTCTCTGCATGTTTCTGCGCCAATCTATGAGCTAAAGCTAACCTTGCCCTCAGTTCACTCGCATAGTTCTCACTAACATCGTAACTTGGTTGGCTAGGTTCAGTGACCACATCGAATGGAAACACGGGATCGCTCCCATACACTAAATAGTAAGGGTCATTTGTGCTAGAATGCACAGTGGTGTTATATGTGAAAAGAGCAAACGGGACCATCTCGTCCCAATTGCGTTGGTCTACATCTGTGTAGTGTGTCAAAATATCTACTAAGGTTCTATTTAATTGCTCTACCATCCCATTGCATTGTGGGTGGTGCGGTGGTGAGCAGTCTTTCTATCTGCAAAAGTTCACAAATCTCCCGCATCATCTTGAATGTGAAATTTGCGCCTTGATCGGTTAATAGCTGCTTTGGAACCGAGTGTCTTAAGATTACTTGCGTGACAAATGCTCTAGCGACCGTTTTTGCGGATACATCGGGCAACGGCACTGCCTCGGCCCAATGCAAAAAGTGATCCACGAAGACTAATAAATATTTACTGCCATTGTGTATAGTTGGAAAGGGGCCTTGAATATCCAGGGCTGTCCTCTCGAATACCTTAGTAATTCTGGGAAAAATCTGTAAGGGTGCCTGATGTCCTGGCAAAGGTTGCCTTTGCATACTACACTCCTGACATGACTGGCAGTAGTGAGTTATGTCTTTGTTCATGTCTGTCCAGTAAAATTGCATCTGCAACTTTTTCTTTAATTTTTTTGCTCTCAAGTATCCTGAACTAGGAATGTCATGAAACATCTTCAAGACATATTCGACCATGCTTTTGGGCACTACTAATCTGTCCCAGATTTCATTTCTGTCAGGATTTGACTTTCTATGGTATAATGTCTGCTCTGCATCTAAATAAAATTCTCTACTCTCCAGACTCTGACTCTGTTCTTGTGAAATGGAAGCGCCTGTCAAATGCCAACTAATTTCTATGCAATAGGGGTCCTTTTGTTGTTGTTCTCGAATCTAAGCCTTGCTGTATATAGGGTGTAACTCGTCAATGGATGCTATTGGCACTCTACTCAATGCATCGACTTTGGTATGGGCCTTTCCTGGACGATTGGCCTTTCAGGAATATCAGTTTGAGATAGTCAAACTGATCTCAAACTGATATTCCTGAAAGGCCAAAGTGAATGTGAAGGATAAGGCGAGCTCTCATCCTTCACATTTATGAGCCGTTTTAGAGGTTGGGGATCGGTTATGATCTTAAATTTCTGACCATACAAGTATGGCCTAAAATATTTTATTGCCCAGATAACTGCTAGACACTCCTCTGTCGTGCTGTAATTTCGTTCTGCTTTCTTGAGCAAGAGCCTCGCGTAAGCTAGGCTCTTGCTCAAGAAAGTGAACGAAATTACAGCACTGCTGTCTCAGGAGGATGAAAGTGGCGTACCGGGAGTTCGCCACTTTCATCCTCCTGAGACAGCATGGCACCAATGGCTACGTTTGATGCATCTGTTGCAATAATAAAGGGTTGACTAAAGTCCGGCGCTCTTAACAGAGGAGCAGAGGTTAACGTTTTTTTCAATCTCTCAAAAGTGGACTCCTGTTCTTCTCTCCATTGAAACTTCGTGTCTTTCTTCAAAAGATCTGATAGGGGCCTTGAAATTTTTGCATAATGGGCTGTGTGTCTTCGGTAGTAACCCGTTAATCCCAAAAATGCACCTACATCTCGCTCATTTCTCGGACATGGGAAGTCTCAAACAGATTCTATTTTTCCAGAATCTGGTTGGATTCCCTCTTCTGAGACCTTGTGTCCCAAAAATTTTATCTGTCTCTTTAAAAAGTGACATTTCCTGGGTTTAAGTTTTAGGCCTGCTGCGGCCAACCTCTGGAACACTAGTTCTAACCTCTGTAGGTGGGACTAAACACAAGGATATCATCCATGTATACTAAGAATATTTTGTTTTTTAATCCACTTAATATTAAATCTGCACAATGTTGGAATGTGGCAGCCACGTTACAAAGACCCATAGCGAGACGATTGAATTCATAATGCCCGATGGAGTACTGAACCCAGTTTTCTCTTTTGAATCCGGGCTCAGCGGCAGTTGCCAATAACCACTCAACGTGTCCATTGTGGAATAATATTTAGTCTTGCCTAACAAGCTCAATGATTCCTGGATCAACGGTAAGGGGTAAGGGTCTATCTTCGTCACTTTATTTAGTTGTCGGTAGTCCACAACAAATCGATAACTTGAATCAGCTTTCTTGACCAATAAATGCTGGTGATGACCATGGGGAGCTTGATGGTTCAACTACCTCACTTTCCATCATGTTCTCTATTAATTTGTCCATAATTTCTCGCTGCACATAGGGAATGCGATACGGAGCTTGATAGAGTGGAGGACTATCGCCTATATCAATCTTATGCTCGGTCAAATTGCAATATCCCAAGTCGAAATCGTCCTTTGCAAACACCTGTTTGTATTTATACAATAAGTCCAACAAAGGAGTCAACTTGTCCTTCCCCACTTCACTTAAATTAGCTACCTGAAATAGATTAGCTACCTGAGCTCTAGTCAGCTCTTTTTCTTTGGATTGCAATGTATTGTTTCCTTCTGCGCTTTCCTTTGTTTCTTCTTCCGCCCTAAAAAAGGTCCCTAATCTACTTCCCCTATTTAATTTTATAGGTTGAGTCGACACATTCATAATACTAATCGGTATTCTGCCGCAGTGTTGCGTTTTCACTAAGACACCTGCGATAAACGCTCCTTCTCTATCCAAAGTACAAGGTTTGACTACACCTACTTGGTTAACGACTTCTCCTCTCACGTTTCCTTTCACCATGACTTCCGATCGCGGGGGAACTATGCAATCGTTTAACAACATGACAACACTCAGAGGGTCATCTTTCCTTTTGTTTTTTCTAACTGTTGCTCTGTGGCCTATAGTTTCTAACACTTTACTCTGTTTATTTATCTGTTCATGGTTTCCTTTCCTCCTCTTCTTATATTTGTTACTTTTATTAACCTTGTTCCGATCTTCTCTAACATTGTGTAAGCGGGTCACATTTTCTTCGACTTATACCAAATTGGATGTATACCAAACCAACCTTTCCCATAAGAAGTAATGTAAAAATGATTAATCCCATTCTCATGTAAAAAAATAAAAGGGCTGGCTTTAAACACCTCGCTTTCCTGGCTAGTTCCTGCTTGATTTTTCATGAGATCAGCATGTATCTTTTTAGCTTTCTCGCAAATAATTGCTTCTGATACGCTGTCCTCCAGCACATTGTTTTTCAGTTATCCAAAGCAAAAGCAATTTCTCAACATGATCTAATATCTTCGATCTCTGTTTAGAAATTGATTTAACCCCTTTCGCAACGTTAGCAGATTTAATAATGTCTTTATTTTTCATGATTGTCAATATCATCGCTCTCGGAATATGGTGTGCAACAGTTAAAATCTTGAACACGCATGCCACCTTCATATTTCTCAACAATCACTTTTATCAGTTCCATTGTGATTCTAGTCATTTTTTTAGTTTTCTGTTGCTTTTCATTTGCCTTTNGTCACAGATTCATCATCGCCCAGAGCAAACCGCTGATCCAAAACAGTCGAAATTTGGTACACAGCGTACGTCACGAAAACGCAAATTAAAAAGGAAATTTTCGAAATTTCTCCGCGGGGGCAGAAAAAGAGAATGAAGGTTTAACGTGAAAAACGGCTTCAACAGTACTATTTTAAATGCGGAGTTTGTTTTCAACTACCTTTATTCTTCGTTGAGTACTAAGGTGTACTAAATTGATAACATTTCAGATATTGCTATAAATATTTTCATATATTTCGATTATCAACTAAATGTTCAAACCGTTTTAAATTCGAAATTGTTATCGCTTATTGGTTCGATTATAGAACAATTTAGAAAATTGATGAAATCGAAAACAATTCGTTTGATTTTCAGCAATTCTGACTATTTTCAGCGGTAGGCGTTATATAACAATTACTATGGTTGTTGAAATACTGAATATAAATGAGGTTTGCTTGCGAAAAACCCGCGAACGAATTCGGGGAGTAACAGCTAGTTTACCTATAAAATCACTTTAAACGTTTATATGTACATAATTTACATTATATTAAGATAAAGAACTTTGTATAAACTCATAATGCAACCTTAATAACTTTCACACAAGTCCATCGGGCTGCTAAGATAGAAATATTTACAATTTGTAACTTTTAAACATCTGAAGAATTTGTCTTTTAACACTGAAAATTAAAATCGGACATAACATAAAAAATATAACTTGTTATTTTAATAAAGAAAAAAATAAAAAAGCTTTCATAGTTACCCTTATCAAAAAAGTTTTCTTCACGTAGAAAAATCCCCACATAGATATTCCGAAAGGTCTTCCACCAAATCTTTTCATGAAACACACGATCTGAAATAAATTAATTGTCAACATTGAATATGACATATAAATTTAACTAACAACATACTTTAAATCTATATTCGGGTGTGAAGAAAGAAGAATTATATATACCAATGGCGATAAAATTATCGTAGATCTGAAACATATTAAATAATTTATTTCGTAAAAAGAGATTTATTACTTAATTTAAAAACTTAAATTTCCAAGTGAAATTTATAAAAATCCCTACAAGTGATGTAAAATATGATAACGCCCACGACACTATTAATAATACAGCCAACAACACTATTCCAAATACTGCGATCAGCGAACGAAAAATTACATCAATATGTACGAAGAGAAAAATATATATGCAGAAGCAAGTTTCGTAGATATAAAAGATGTAAATAACTGGAGACAACGCTTTTCATTTTTCGTTATTCTCTTCAAAAATTTCCCAAATATTCCAAAGGTTTTCGATTAGTTTATCAACGAAACATCTTGTGACTTTAAATTTAAGTCGCAACCGAACAGAAATGTTTATCAACCTTCTTCCTAAATGTAAAAGAAGAACTAAAAAAACTACAATTACGCAAAATACGTAAGAAACAACATAAATCGACCAAAGTTCGACACCGAAAAGACAAAGATTTTTTATAATCCTGTTGTGCCGCATATCCGAGGAACGAAATTATCGCGAAAAAACACAGAAGAAGAAAAACATAAAAACAGAAGTAGTGAAGAAGATATCGTACATATTTCTGGATAAATTATTTTTCTTCCTTGTAATTCTTCATTAGGTGATGAATATTAACTTCTCTTCTTTTCAAAATGCTGAATTGTAGAGCTGCGTACAAGGCACAACACTATGTAATAAACTTAACATAGAATTTTTTATTTCCAAGTACAAGATATAGATGATTGCAATAACCATTTGATGTTATCATTGCCGTATACAATAATACTATCGTCCAAAAATATATTTCGATAAAGTTTTTGTAAATTTTGTAAAAGTTCTCAATTCGTCTTGACATTTTTTTTTCGACATTTACATGTTTTAAACACATTCAAACCGAAAACTTCGGAAACAGAAATCAACGGTTGATATTTTCTAGCAATACAATCGCTATGTGATGAATGCATTTCTCCTACGAAAGTGCAAGGTTTGTTTCCACGTACAGTTTCGAAGTTCATGAAACAGCTAAAAACATGTGATCTTTGAAATAAATTGGTAGATATCTTTATATAATAATATTATATATAATATCTTATATAATAATGTTTTATATAATATAGTATTGAATAACCTAGATTCATATAATATCGTGATATAATGCCTTATTTCTAAACACAATCGATATATCTTAGTTATATTAATAGTATCGTAGGCATTATCATATTGTATATGTGAGTATCGTTATTAATACATAATTTGAAAATTAAAATTGTTCAGTGATATAATAAAACGTATATTTCATATTAAATATATTAATGTATTTTACATTTACGATAATATTATTAGCATCGAGAGATATAATTCTTTATCATTGACGCGTGGATACAGACTTTTTTCATCAGTTTATGATATGTTTGATTTAATGGAATTAATCAAATAATCAAATCATTGTTTTATGATTGATCGATCGTTTTATAAAGAGGTTTCAAGAAAAACTTTTTGGAATATCAATGTGGGCAGTTTTCTGCATTAAAAAGATATTTTCCGTACTTTGATTTTTTAATAAATTAAATCAACAATTAATAACAAAAACAGTTTACTAAATACTAAAAAAAATGTAACTTTAAAACTTTTTGATTGAAGGTCAGACTATTTACAAAAATATGAAATCTTCGAGTCTATCTTAATTCTTTTTATACACTCCAGAAGTAACAGTTAACATGGGTATTTTTGAAGAATATACTTCTTAAAACAAAAGTAAACAATAAGTAAAAAAGTTCACAATGTTAAAAACGATCAAGTGTCAGCTTTCTGTTATAGGTTCTGACATTTTACATTAAAAACACGAAGAATTTTTCTCACCACATTGTCGTTATCCATTCTTTAACTGCTTCAGGCTTTCTGGTGGTAGTTACGAGTTATCCTTACTTAATCCTTAATCGAGTTATCCTTTGTTTTAAGAAGTATATTTTTCAAAAAACCCATGTTAACTGTTACTTCTGGAGTGTATAAATAGGATTAAGATAAACTCGAAAATTTGATATTTTTGTAAATAGTCTGACCTTCAATTTAAAGAAATATATCCTGAGTAATTACAGAAATTGTATCCATATGCAAATTAAATAAGGTAACAGTTAAATCGTAGTCAATTTACAAGTATGTTTCAAATCATTTTGTCAACTTTCGTCAGACAGTCTCAAAAAATATGCAAGTCAGTTTTGTTTCTACTCTTCTACAAAGATAATGTCGCTTTCTGGCGTGCACATTGCGCTAATTATACCACACCTTATTTGAGAAAATGGAAAACAGGAAAATTTGTGCTATTTAATTTGTCTTTACCGTTTTACTTACTTAACGAGCAATTATTTATTTTCACGTCGTCAAAATAATACACAACAATTTTTCAGTACAGGATGCACACACAATATTTTCTATTATAGTAGTGTCTTGCTATTGTACAGTACTTCACATTTATACTGTTAATAAGTCAGGCAAATTATGTAAATAAGTCTGTCTTGGAAAAAATATTTAAATTCGAATAATGTGGTTTCCGGTTAAAATCGAATATTCCTGTTCAGTTAAACGAGGCCTGTGGCTTCTGTTTTTCGAAACCTCGTCTTCACTAATTTCTGTCTAACTACTTTCTCGATGTTAAGAAAGGACAGGCAACAAACAACAAGAGACAGAGAATTTAAGGTCTACAATTTTTCAAATTGCGGCCCAATTACCGGTATATGATTATGTAAAATACATTAAGTATAAGTTTTATATTTTTTCTAACTGCGAATGATTTATAAGAACAACTAATAATGTGAAAATTAATAAATTATTTAAGTGAATGTCTTCTATAATTGTTTAAGGTATTGTGAAGAAAAAACACTGTTTATTTTATATTTTAAGTAAGTATAATAAATGCGTTAATTAAAATATTTTCTTTAAAACAATGTACGTTTTGGTGATTTTGGTTATAGCATTAACTTATCGCTTGAAGAAATAGTAAAAGTTTCATGTAATCACGTAATCGGATTTTTACTACGGCTTACCGGTGCAAGACTGGATAATAAATCACTGTACACCGGTTGTTAATCGTAAGTTCGCACCTTATCAATGGCTAAGCACGTGCAGATTTTCGGATTTTTACTTATGACGTAACACGCGGTTGTATTTGGAAAGTAAAAAATAAGGTAAAGCTTGTTTTTGAGGAAAATGTCCATATGCGAAATTGTCAAATTCGTGTATTTTACGAATTATTTACGCGCCTAACATTTTATGAAATTTTATGGAATAACAGTTTGACAAAAAATACACCAGCAATGTTATTTTGGACAAGAGTATTCGTATTTTCTAAAATTTGCGAGTTTAGAGTTAGAAATACGATTATGATAATATTAAATGAATGAAACTTGCTGTTACTTCATTTCTACCGTCACGTGACAACGCTCATTATATGACAATATGCTTCATTGAAAGAGTGCAGTTATTTACTGTCGTGTGTCTACATCAATACTTTTTCCATCGCTGATGTACTGTACTGCTATTTTACTCTATAATGCATGGAAATAAATATACTTTCAATTGTTTAATTGTTGCTGCGTTGATCACTGCCGTCCAAATGATACAAATGGTATTTGCATTTCCGTATACGTGTCGGATTTATTGGCTTTTCGAAAATGGATATACACGCGGTACTCAACTGTATGTGTTAAATTTCTGAATTCTTTTACATACGTCATATGTTTATTTGTTTACTGATTTTTTTATAAAGCTATCTGTTTTTTTTAAAATTAATAAAAAGAAAGATTAAATATAATATTGCATTATTTTACGTTACATTCAAGTGTAATTATCAGTAAGCTATTAAGATTTAAACAAGTTTAAACCAAAATATTATAATTTATATAAATTTAAACCAAAAGACTGAGATTGAACCAAGTTTAAACCACAGATAAAGATCGAACCACGTTTAAATTAAAATATCAAGATTTCACCAAAAATTAAATTAAAAGATTCAGATTTAACAAAGTTGAAATCAAGATTCAGATTTAACCAAGTATAAACCAAAGAATCTTACAACTATCAAATATATTTTTTAAGTACAGTTTTTAAATATTGAGACATATTTAAGAATTTTCATAAATAAATAGAATATGTTTTGGTATTTTTATTAATTTTTATACTTTAATTGTTGTCAGGTGGTAAGTGGATTGTATTCCTTTTTCTTTTTTCTAATTTAATTGACCGAAGTACTTCGAAATAAGAGATGCTCTGCTGAAACTTTTGTAAATTATACGTTGTAGAATGAAACAAACAATTTAAAGTCCTCATACCGGTAAATTTCTTGCCGATCTTGTGATTAACCTTTGACTGCAGAAACACAAAAGTCTTAATACTCTAGTATATGACAAACAATGAGTTCTAACAAATAAATAATCGATGCTTTCATTTTAAAATTTGACGATATAAAGTAAAAAGTTTACTATCAGTAGTGTTATGTCTTCTGAAAAACTGACAACAACTTCTTGTGTCGTAGACGAAGTGACGACTTTTACTCTTGGATGAACTAGCCACCACTGCCTGAATCAGTTTCTCTTTTTCATATTTAAACGGCAGTTTAAGGCCAGAAGGTCAGAAGGTCTTGAGAGAGCGTCTCTCTCGACGCTGAGAACACGAAAAACGAGACGCTTTCATCTAGAAAAATTGACAATTATCGCTGCCGACAATATAATGTACTTTAATGTGATTTAATGTTAAAAAGTGAAAAGTTCTGTCTGTACGTTTAAATTGATGTGTTTTGTTGAAAGAATGAGACTATAATGCTGTTGATGTAATACATTGTACAACGTTAGCACAGACAGCCGAATGGCCGAGTGGTCAATAACAACACTAAAAAAACATTCAAATTTTTCTTTGATTCATCTCATTTTTGTTTGAGTACAGAGAAAATACGTACAAAATGTCATAGGCAACATAATTCGAATTTGGCGGTCTCAAGCGTGCAACAGACCACAACACCACGTTATCTGAGCGACTTTTACTAACCTGTCAAAATGTGAATGCACGTCTCTCATTCGCCCGGGTGTCATGGCCGACAACAAGAAATTATACATTACGAGTTTTTTTTTTCGCAACATGTTTCTTTGTATAGATGGTAAGTTTTTTACTATTTTATCTATTTTTGTAGCATATATTTCAACTTTCAAGAATTTGTTGCAGCAGTTAAAAAACTTTTTCCATTAAAAATATCATACTTGTTCTTATTTTATAATGTTTTTTTATAATGTTATATGGACAAAACTACATACATAGGTAACGGAAGTAATGACATATCTGTCATTTAGTCTATAAGACCTTAGTCAAGGAACTTACCTTAACCTCTTAATGTTTTATTAATTATAAAAAATGGCTTCCAAAGAAAGTCTTTTATTATTGTTTAAAATAATTCTTAGTATATAACTTTATTTCCTTTCTTACATATTATTTACAAACTTATTATCTTTCACGTAACAAAAAAACTTGTAACGAATCACGTGACTCGCAAAAACCTCTTTAGTTTTAACTTTTACACCTAATATAAAGGCAATTAAATGAAAAATGACTCCAAAGCTCAGCCAGAGAAAAAGAGACGAAACATTACTAAAAAGTTACTCGAAGCAGAAAATTTTCCTGATAACTCTCATGATGATAAAGAAAACTGTCCATGCATATATTGCGATGATCTTTTTTCCCAATCTAAGCCTTGAGAAGACCTGTTACGGTGCTTAAATTATTTCGGTTGGGCTCACGCTTCTTGTGCTGACGTTTGTCAAAGAACCAAGCGTTTCATTTGTGGACTTTGTCAGTAATTTTATAGTTTTTCTGTGTGTGTCGTTTTGTCTATAGTATATGGACAAAATGGATTTTAAATGATCATAATTAAATTAACAATATTTCTTTTTCTATTATTTTAATATTGTAAATGTTTAGTATATTTCATAGGTAAAGAACCAAAAATGATTAGTGTAGAATATGACAGTGCTGTGATTTATCAATAAAAAATTATAAACCTAAAATAAAACCACATGTCATGTTGTACGTATTTCCCCTACTTAAACTTATCGAATAAGATAACTATTGCATTTTGTAATAACTTGATCATAGAACTAATTTCATTACTGTATTTCTGCAAATCGATTTTGAAACCTCTTCCAGAGACACTGCACAATACATCATTATTAAAAATTACTTTTCGTATTACGAAATCAGATATTTCCGTATGATAAAAACTGGCATGCTTGTCTCCCCGGTTTTATGATTAACGCCTGTGATTCCGCAAAAATGTGATATACTTTTTTGTATAGTTAAGTTTAGCTAGTATAGTTTTGCACTTGAGAGTGCATTTCTATAATCTATTAACTAGTTAAATTGTCATTTATGTTGTCGTGTTTTCGCTGCATAATTATGGTCTTCATCGGAATCAGGCTAACTCGCGTTATTTAGTACTTTTGTGAGTGACTTGCCAATTGCTCGAACTTTCTTGACGAGGCGTTCAAGCTCTTCGATGAGCTTAACATTTTTAACTGGAGCATTAATAGTGTCGTGGGCATTATGAATTTTTACTGCAATCGTGAGTATTGTTCTAATTAATATAAAAGTTAAGAAATATACTTGTTTAAATAATGAACTTAATATTTATTTTGTATAAATATACTTCAGACGTACGACAGTTTTATCAACATGGGAAAGTGTAACTCTTCTATTAAACCACCGAAATACAGATTTAAAGTACGTTATTTATTAATCTTATTGCATAGTTTATGTAATTTTATTAATAATTGAATAATTTCAGATCATTTGTTTTATGAAGAGATTCAGAGGAAGACCTTTCGGGTTATCTGTGTGGGGATTTTTCTACGTCAAAAAAATTTTTTTCGTAAGGGTAAATACGTCGTATTATAATGTTGTTTTTAGTTTAATTAGCAGAATATGTATGTTTGCTGACCTGGTGAAGAATGGGGATTTGAAATCCCACTTCTCGGACACCAGTGTAAATTTTCCGACTTTTACGGGAGGATCGTTAATCCCGTTTCAGGATGATTTAGGGTCGTTCGCGTGTGAATATGGCGGAGAAGACACAGATCACAAGAATCTCACAAAAACCCGTTTATTTTAAACACAAGATATCTTACACTATGAAACAAAAATGTTCTTAAACACAATCGGTTATTCAGAAGTCCTGAGCGTCGTTGTTATTCCGTGGTTCGTCGATCGAATTTGGCCGAGGGGAAGTGGTGTTAATGTGAGGCCAGCCGATTAGGGGCGAGGTGTTTTCGACAGCCGAGCGGTTAATTCTGTCGTGTGGGCGCGGAATGACTCACCGAGACAGGTTTACCATATAAAACCGTTTAATAATATACATAAATCGTTCTTACAACAATCTAATGCGGGCGAGAGCTTATCCCACGATGGGTTTCTGTCACAGTTCCTAAAAATCGGACAGTTCGATTGTTCGATTGGTCCTTGGGGAGCTTTCGGCACTGTGGACGCAGAGAACGATGGCTCCGGGGCACGCACCAACACTTGTAGTGATGTCCTCGGTTGACAAGTCGAACCTCGACGATCCTGGACGTGACCTCGGCGATCCTAGAGTGGACGGGTTGGCGAAACCAGTTCCTAGGTCGTCGGAAGAGCCTTCGTTGCGTCTCGGTCGGGAGCACCAAATCCCGACAGGTGAGCACTACACACCAAAACCCAAGACTC